TTTCCATCAAACCCAGCTTTGATCAGAATTATCAGTATCGACACCTACGCTGTATTTTTGATGATAAACGGACAGCGGCTACAAAAACAAATACTGTTTGTAATGAAAGGGGTAAATGTGAATATTGTAAAACATTGCAAATTAGTTAGTTGTTACAAGCATTTTATAAAAATGTCCATAACTTTTAGGGGCAGTTTGATAACAGCCATACTTTTAACGTATATTATATATTTAATTAATTGTAAAATGAAAAGAAGCATACAAATAATACGTTGACAAACTCAAGACATTAGAACTGAGGCATTTATTCTAATATGGTCTGACAATACACACAGTACGGTTCTTTTGGGGTACAGCTCATTCTCATCTAAATTCGATTTGATTATTCTGGGAACTTTTTACACAGCAACAGTAGACTCTAAATTCCTTGCAATAAAATTATTTTTTTTTATAAAAAAAAAAGGTCCAACATTCTCACAGTGTAACTTGCATAATTTTTTGACCGCCCCGACAACATGCTACCAAAGGCATACTTGACGAGGAATGTCGAGTTTGGATAATTGAGTAAATGCAATTATGATCTTAATGATGCGAGACTTACGTTTGGCGACTTAATATACATTTTCGACAATCCGGTCTAACTACTAATTGTCATTACTTACAAACATTACTAAGTCGAAGCTCCACCATATAAAGAAAATAACAAAATATAATATCATGTAAGGTATAGAGGTTTGTAAAATATCGTTAAACTTAATTATAGGAAATAGAAATTCAATTTAAAAAAATATTTTTTTCCCATATCTTAAAATACTGATTACTCAACAATTTTAGCGGTTTGTAAAAAACCAAAATAGCTATTTTATTAAAAGTCATTACGAACATACCCGTAAAACGGATTAAGATCATATTTTTCGGTTTTTGAAGTTCAAACTACGAAAACCGGATTTGTTTTTCCATTGCTAGTATGTTCAATGTTGTGTTTTCTATGAAACTTCTCAGCAGTCTCAGTCGAGCAATAGTAGAAATAATTTGTTGCAATCCACCGGAATGTCGAATAAAGGGTCTGGCAAAGTCAAGTCCGTCTTACTATCACGGTCATGTAGTAGATGTGATTAAATAAAATCAAATATATTATTACTGTTCAGAGTCCGTCAGGTCGACTACAATGCGAACACTACGTATACATCCCTTCCAAAAGCATCATAATATAGGCCTTACGCAACGTCAACGACCTCACTAGCTACTCCGATTAAAATATGTCGTCGTCGTCGTCTTAAACATAATAATGTAATAATAATAATTCATAATATATTGTAAAGGTCTTCTTTGCTGCTCGTCGTCCGGTATTCAACACACACACGCGCGCGCGCGCACATAAAAAACGACATTTAATTGACTACTATTTTGTCTTTTTTTAATCCAAATAAGTGCTACGACATGGTCGCATTTAATATATTATAATCATTTAGAACAAACTAGAGACAATTTCAATACCTCCGACAACGCCAGATTCATTAACCGTCATTACCACCGTCGTTGCACATTCGTTGTGAATAAATAATATGCAATTTCAATTGGCTCTTGAAATAATAAAAAAAAAGCTATTACACGTATACATATACACGCACGCCACTTGTTTAATAGATCATTATAATCATTAATCATTAATATACCTAACGATGATGATAACATCAAACATTATAAAATACATTATTTAATATTATACCGGTCATTGGTGTAAAAACATAATACTGGATGTGTTCGAATATAGTTTGTTTTTTATTACCATTCGTTTTTTTTTGTACGGCTGTTTGTTAAAGTACCTAAATAATGGTTTGATAGTCCTGATAATACATTAATTAGGCGCACAGTATAGGCAATTTTTCACTAAATCTTGACATTAGGGCGAAATTTGTTGAACTCATTAATTAACACAGAAAAGAGGTAACTATTTTGATATTTCAATTTTTTGTTTTTTTATTACAACTTTTATAAAGCATACAGATACGGTTTTTGTATGTTTCTACTTCTAACAGTATCTATCTAATAATACTCAAGATTTAAGTTTTGAAAAGTGGCATTTGAATTCTTCACAATATTTACGAGATATCAAAATTCATATCGTTAAAAAAATGAAAAAGCAAAAATAGTCTTGAATAATAATTTTATCTGGCCAAAATGTATTCTCAAGTGAATACTATTAAGACTAAAAAGTAAATATACTTAATAGACTCAATTAGTAAGAAGTACCTTTATCGAGAAATTTCACATTGATTGCAACGAATGTTTAAGCAGACAGGAATTAAGACCAATTATTACAGTCATTAGGAACAAAATATAATTATTGTGAAAACATGGCCGTTTCGACAATATCTATTCTCGAGTTACAATATTCCAACATAATTAGGTACTCGTGGCATGTTAATCTTATATAATTTAAGGTATTACATTCAATGTTAGATGGATATAAAGCAGGTTTTTTTTTTGTTTTTTCTAAATCTTTTCAAGACCAACGGGCAACGTTTTAAGACATTTTAAATAAGAGAGACATTGGTTAAGGGATACACACAACTGCCTTACGGTAAAGACTCAAAATACTATTTAACTTTTATGTTTTTTTTTAAAAATATTAATCAAACGTAAAAGAGTAACATAATATTAGTAGTACACGTTACCGTCGTATGCCAACAGAAGCGCTTAAGTGGATTTTCGCATCGAACTCTGTACCAAAACCCGTTCGGCCGATGCCCTTTGGCTGACCCTGTGCTAAGGCAATAATAATAACATAGAAAAATGTGAAATGTCTACGCATCGTAATCAGTACACACACACACGTCTAACCCAACAATAAAATAATATAACTCGCAGACAACTGTGTTAACATAGTAGTAAAAATAATAATAAAATATCTATATATTTTGGAAACGTTAATAAGTATTTTTTAAAATCTAGACGTTTTTATGCTTTATGAACCTAACCCGGAGTCGAAGAGACAATGAGAGGTAGGTGGTAGCACTATTCTGCCATATGATAGTTTTATGGTGTAGGTACAAGGTGTATATTATATTTTTTGTCAAGAAAAAAAATGTGCCCAAGTTATTATAGTATCGCGTTGAGTTTGTTTTTATTTTTTTCAAACATTTTTTTGTTTATTATTTAGACCCTCCAAACACAATATGTGTTATGACGCATTGTTTGACCGAGATAACAGTGTGTGTGTGTGTGTGTGTGTTTTTTTTCTTAAAGTAAATTTCTCTTTAGCCGGTAAAAAAAAAAACGCGTACCGATATAAATTATTATATATTACGGTACCTAATTATTATTTTAATAACAATAAAAATATAATTTATTACACGGACCACGTGATAACGTTGGGCCGCGCCAAGGCACATTGTGCGGTGTCTGACACAACCGCAGCGCGTTAACTAACTAGTATGTCTTCGTTTAAATCCCAAGTGAAAAAAAAAAAAAATATATATATATATACATATATATATATATATATATATATATATATATATATATATATACATATTTTATATTGTTTATATAGTATTTTTTTTTTTTTAAGAAATAATAATTATGAAATTGCATGATGAAACAACGTTTTGTACACGCACATTTTACAAATCCGTTTGACCTCGTTCGACCGAGAAAACAATAAGCGCGCTTGCAGTATTCATTGGATATATATATATTTTATATATTATGATTCATATCAATAATATGTGTATAGATTAGAGAACAAACAGTACTCCGCAAGGAGTTAACACCCAAAATCGTTGTAAAACTGTTTTCTGTAAAAACCCTAAGAACGACAGCTGGGCTGATCAGATGACAATTTATTGGCATCAGACTAGCATTGTTCGGTTATGTTAAATGATAAACAGGATAACGGTACCAACTTGCCAGTAGATTTTTGTTTGGTTCAAAATATGTAGATTTATTTAAAAAGTATGCAAGTAATTAAAACTTATCGGGCCATACGGGCCGACCATAAGGGTACCGCTGAACCGGTCTGCTATAGTGTACTTATAAGGAGGGGCTTCTGGTATTAGGGATGGGCGATGGCTTCTTACATAAAGGTGAAAATAATGTATCTAAGCAATATTATCATGCGGTCGTAATGTGTTTTCGCATTGCCGGCATTTGAATTCTTATACATTATCTTTTATTTTCTTCGAATCAAAACAAAACCGACGGACGTTGTACCCTCGAGCGCATAATAATATTGTACACACACACACACACTTACACAACTAAAAACTAGATAATAATTATTGTACATATGTATCAAGTATATTATAATAACAATATTGTACGGGCCGTCCAGAACAAGATTATGATGGTATACTTGATATAGTACATGCACATATTATAAGTAGGTATGTACTACAAGTTTACCGAGCAAAATTTGGTCCAGACAAGCAGTATTAACAACAATAATAAATATGGTAAAAAAAACAAAACAAAACAGTCTTACGGGCTTCTTGCCAGCGATTATTTTTTTTAAGATCTATAATCGCGCACGTGTACAGTGTACGTCATACGTGTAAAATATGTTATTAGGCGTACATTTTATTATATCTATGTCATCTCATCTCATCTCATCTCATCGTAATCTTTATGTTCAGACAATAGAAATGTCACAACACACGCGAGGTTTATAATATTTTGATTTCATACAATAATAATAACATAGAAAGATGGGAATATGGTCGGTGAGAAACCAGTTTTTCTCGAACAGGTGGGTCGGATAGAGTGTTTATTTTTTACTTACATATTATAATAATAACAGTAGTAGTGTAATAATGGTGACAAATATTTCTAAAAATCACAAACAGACAGACCGACCGTCGGTTTTTTAATTTTTAAGTATTTATTTAGACTAACTATTGATGTGCATCTTAAGCGTAAACGATTATAGTACAAACGGCGTATAATAACCGTGGTCTGATTACACAAGTGTTGATAATAGGAGGTAATAAAAAACTTACCCTGGTCAACGAAGCGTATCCTAGTCTGGACGTCTGACTTCATCATCGGCAACAGGCTACAGTCTTAGACGGCGGCGATTTAGACTAAGCGTAGACAACCGCGACAAACGGCCAACACTATAATTTCATTTGATTTTTTTAGTTTAAATTTAATCATTAGCGAACCATAGATTAAGTACGACAACAACAACAACACCGTCGATCATAATGATATAATATTTCCCGGGTATAAGTGTAAGTACTCTGAACACGGTTTTAGAAATATAATAAAAAACGATAGCTCGAAAAACGTACTAGTACAAATTGTGGCGCCCAAAAAAAAAAATTTTTTTGTTCGACAATTTTTGTAATATATTATTTTTCGAAATTTAGTCGATGGAGAATTTAAAAAAACAAACGATTAACAACGACCGATCGACGTGTGTCCGACAAATTATTGTGGTTTTTACTTACTGAGGTTCAGGCGGAGGCCGCGGCGGTCTGGTGATAACGCGCGCGCGTTTACGGGCGGCAACGGCGGCCGTTGTAGTCACACACACATTATTTTGTTTTTGTATTGTAATGTATTATTATTACTATTATAATATATATAAATATTATTCGGTGTGTGTTATCATATTGGATTCGGTGTAAAACTGGTGGTCGTTATCATAATAATAATAATATATCGAAGCGATGCATAAACAACAGCAGCAGCAGCAGCTATATTATTATATAGTCGACGAGAGAGGTGGATCGTCCAACAACGAGGTCTGGGTGGCGGGAAAAATGTTTATAAGAGTACACCCGACAAGAGGAGGTAATTATTATTCTTTTTCCATCATCTAAATGTTGTTTTCCGACCCGTTTTCGCGTACAACACTATAATATATTTGTAAAATTTTTTTTGAAAAACAAAAACCGTATACGGTAGTGCGTTGAAAAAAAAAATACAATAGGCGATAATAATAATAAACGTGCGGTAGGTAGTATTATTTTAAATATATATATATATTATTATTTTTTTGTATAATATTAATTATAACGGACGAGCGCGGCGCACATACAGCAGAACGACTACTATGCGGCGGCGGCGACTGGCGGACGACGACGACGGCGACGACGACTATGACGGCGCGGACCAACGAGCGACGGCGAGCAGCAACAAGTTGTTGATACACACACACACACACGCACACGTTACACACACAGACGGCATTTCCTGAGAGTAATATATGATTACTATTAATAGAACGGTGGCCTCGATTGCCGCCGCCGCCGCCGCCGAGGCATCCAGTTCTTGATAACGGGGCGGCGCGCGCCGTTGTGTTGGGTTAGGGGCGCCATCTGCCGGTCAGGATATTGGTCGGCGATGACCGGAGGACGTGAAAAATTTCTCTCTCTCTCGTCGTTATTAATTATTATTATTATTGGCTATAACACACATCTGATTATAATCTATATAAAAATATGTAAAATAACATAATTTATGTTCCTGGCCGGAACCGCTGACAGGATTTTCCAAAATTTGACACCGCTAAGTTGGTGTAAAAAATGGAAAACTAAAATTATTTACCATAAAACTATTTTTGTCAAATGTATAACATAGGTCCCCCTTTTAACAAATGCCCATTCATACATATATTCAGGCACACAGCCAGAGTATTTCTATTGGGGGCCAACAATTTTGGCTTCTCCCTCACACTCTCCCTTAAGCGTTATCGTACTAAGAATCTTAATAATTTAAAATTTACCTTTGGTTGGTTAAAAAAAAATTGTTTTCGTGTCTAGTACACCTATTGGCTCTTACAGTATTACAAAAAATGGATAGTACTTATGATTAGTAAAAACACACATTTAGATCATAAGTTGATTTAATTTAAAAAAAACTGTATTACCTATTAGTAATCACAGGAGATTTATTTCAATGTGTAGAAGCCCTATCACGTTTTTGATACTTAGTAAAAATAATTATATTTTTAATTTGGGGGGCCATATACGTATATTTGGCTTGTTACTATTTCTTTAAGTTCCCTATTTTGTTTATGATTGGCGTAGAGTGTTAAAAAACAATACCATTGTACATTTATAGTAAGTCGACGGTTTTTATTGATAACTCTAAGGTTTAAGTTTTATTACTCGCTTCGAATGTTATTCAGATGTTGTTCTGTTTAAATTACTTTTTCATCTCTTAAAAGAATAAAAACATGCGCAACATATGTACTATGACAGAAGAGAGGTGATCTCAGATTTAGCAATTAGCCCTCTTCTAGTCATCAACTATTTATGAGCGTTCCGTGTAAACAATGTCTTTGCCAAGTCAGCGAGTGAAGTACAATAATTTGTCGTTAAATCATCAAACAATTGTGTAAGTCGGTTCAGAGTGTGTTTTACTTTTTTTTTCAAGTTCACGTCAGGGATTTAATTGTGTTGTGTTGATTCTGATTACGCCATTCAGAATATTATATTGTGCGGTGTTGAAAACAAAAATAATATTATCCAACAAGAGAACAAGTGCCAAAAATAACCAAGACTACCGTCGTCCGTTTTACATTAACGTATAATTAATCTAAATACATTTTTAATTTATGTTTAATGTTTGTTTGAGGAAATCGAAAACGTTAGAGCTATTTTTAGTGTGTCCATTACACTCTCTCCACGGTTGACTCTAGGCGCTGTAACGCTTAACAATAAAAAAATAATATTATTGTGGGTATAATAGATATTTTCTCGGTTTCAATGTCAAATATTATTGTCAATGCGGAAAAAAGAATAATAATAATAATAATGGTATGAAGAACTAACAAAACGGTCGATATCGGTTACGTCGCCGAGTCTAATATTCCGCCTGTTTTTTTAAATTTTAATTGAGCGGAATTGGACAAAAGAAATGCGTAGTCGCTGTAGTTTTTTTATTTTAAATTAGTGTGTTGCCACGCAGCTCTATACCGCATGCTAACGAAGTTCAATTTTCTAGTATACGAAAACAACACCATCGATTCTGGCCGACAGTAGCCAAATAACAATAACAATAACGAATAACCTCCACAGAGACCGTGTACTATACTCGGTGCGTTGCACTAATAGAAACGTATTCGACAACGACTACTTGTACTGTTAATAATTGGCAAATTAGTTTTTACCGAAAGTCTGTAGATCACTACAGCTTGACCGTCAATCAACGTGGTGACCAATGACCATATACTCAATAGCCTTACCAACAGTACTACTTACTAGACCTACGTGGAATGCGTTCATAATGGTTGACCCATTGGGTAATAATATTCAAAGAGATGAAGTAAATAGTAGGACTAAAACCAGTATGGCCACACAAAAGAAAAACAAAGTCCACATTGTTAAGCGATTGGTACTCTATACTCGTTATGATAAAAAAAGTTTTACTCCTTATCTTAAATTTTTTTTGTTTTTTACCATTACCATTGATATCTTATCACCACGATATATTGAAATGTATTTTTGTTCTTCCAACTAGGCAGTCCGACTTTAGTCCTACAGTTTGCCACACATTAAAACTACTGTAGCCATCCCCTGGATTGAAACCACGATTTAAGGTTGCCCATGGCAAACAAAAACTATGACGTCACACGACTGGAAATGAAATCAGTGTGACCACAGATTCAAGCATCACAATATCACAGATTGTAGATAATAAGAAATTATAATATTATCTGTGATAAAGCAGTCGGTTATCGTTTAAATCTTATGGTCTATCAGGAGTTTGAGGTCAGTGGTCTAACCCCAGCAATTTTCAGAAAAATTGTGACCACAAGGGAGGTTCCGCCCATCCATACTTGCCTTGTAAAATTTGATTTTCAATACATACAATGACAGTATGTCAAAAGTAACAGTATAGAAGATCATTTACATATGTAGTATTTATTCTTTGCATGGCGCATTTATATATGAAAATAAAAACTATACCTTTTCAGCCTCGCATAGAAAACGAAAGAGAAAAATTACACTCTTATACTATCAAAATTTCCAAGCGAATTCAAATAAATTGACTGAATTTCAAGAGAATGAGTGTAGGACTTTTATAATATGTCAAAGGTGAATCATCAATCAATTGGTCAAATATATGTATAGATCTATTACCAAGGATGGTGATTTAGTTATAATTTCACGCTAGTAATATTTTACATGAAATCGCCATTGGCCTGTGCCCTGTACAGAACCAATTTATAGTTAGACACATACAATTAAATGTATAGTTGCATAACTATACATATAGTTGGCCTAACAATTTATGATGTTCTTGAAAGCATACATAAAATGTATGATTTCATGTGTCCTTATGGCTTACTTTAACTATGTATGATTTTTTTTTTGAGTGTGCAGCTGTTGCTTTATTTTTAAATACTAAAAAAAAATATATCAATTATTAATTATTATTAGTCGCTAGTTCTTCGCAACTCCATAAACTAGATAAGTATAATTTCTTGTATTCGTCGACGCCTTTAAGCATTTTCTAAGAAAGATAATTATTTAAAACATTTCGCCTAGATAATATTATGTAACTCAATCAATTGTTACGTAATATTATTTATATAGTAGTTAATTATAAAACAGTTGTTTTAATATATTTTTTTTTTAATCTCAGACCGTGTATGTAAAATTTTTATGAGTATCAAATTCTTAGGTATAATTGTATTTCATAAATATTCAAATATATATTAAAAAACCAATTTAATTTTGGAATTGTAAATATAAACAAGCGCAAAAAAAAAAATTAGAAATTTACAATTTTAATTTTATTCTAGTTTCTAGACGACGTTTGTGCAGACCGCAATAAAGTTGTTTGATTTAGTGCTTCATAAAATTTAAATATTTTAAATATTAATTGTATCTTTTATAAAATATTCATATATAATTATCAAAATGATTTACTTTTTTTTTTAATTACCATCCAATTAATCTAAAACTTGCTGAATATGTTTGTCCAACTATATTGAATTTTCTTTTTTATATGTATTTAAAACCACTTTCAGATTGCTGTATTATATTCTATAAAGAAATAAAAAGAACCGTTTACATACATAATACATCACTTTCAGTGATTCACTTAGTCTAAGAATTTGTAATATATATGTGGTTTTTAGTGGTTTAATTTTTTAACATTTTATAATTTTAATATATTTGATATAATATATTATACTAGGTACTACTTAATTTATATAGGTACTATTAGGGAAACGGCGTTCCCATTAATAACGTCTGTAAGGTCATTTTATGACAATAAATAGTACATTTTATTATAAGAGATAATTATGATGATGAAATTTACAATTTTAATTTTATTCGAGTTTCTAAACGACGTTTGTGCAAACCGCAAAAAAGTTGTTTGATTTAGCGTTTCATAAAATTTAAATATTTCAAATATTAATTGTATCTTTTAATACCATATTGAATTTTCTTTTTCATATGTATTTAAAACCACTTTCAGATTGCTATATTATATTATATATTCTATAAAGAAATGAAAAGAACCGTTTACATACATAATACACCACTTTCAGTAATATATATGTGGTTTTCAGTGGTTTAATTTTTTAACATTTTACAATTTTAATATATTATTATACTACTACTTAATTTATATACTATTAGGGAAACGGAGTTCCCATTATCAACGTTTGTAAGGTCATATTATGACAATAAATGGTACATTTTATTATAAGAGGTAATGATGGGTCAACGATTATTTTTTAAAAAAAAGAACAAACAGCCATTAAAACATTAATTTGAAAGAAAAACAATTGAAAACCGTTTGGTAGGCATTTTGAAAATTATTTTGGCGTTTCAGTCTAATTATATGTATGGAATTTGGCTCTTTCCAGTACCATTTGTGTAAAAATAATTTCTAATTCTAAATTTTTCTCGGCTATACTAATAAAGCGTACTTCGATTAAACCGGCAAGTAGAAAATAGATATTAGACCAACGTCTAAACATAGCCTAAACAAGCACTGGACTATTATTAAACTTTTCAAGATGATTGATCTAACACGGCAGCAAGCAAAGGTGTCCATGGTTTATCAAACTTATTGTTAGAGCTGGTCGTTAAAATATTTGCTAAGACTTCATAACAATAAAATAAATAAGATAAA